TTAAAAAAAAGGTTAAACCCACCTATAGGGATTCTGAGCTCAATCAAAAACACATTTACTTTGGTGAAGGTTACAGAGCCAAAATATTACAACTGAAGACTGATAAATATCACTGAAATTAAAACACCGCTGAGTTTCTACAGCAACACAAGAGCTTCTGTGAGGCTGGTCTTTGAGCTAAATGCCAACATTTGCATACTTTCATGCAGATAATGTAGTTATGTACCATTTTAATTAACTAGTATTATAACAATATACGGCTAAGCCTCGTGGGAGACTTTATTATGAGTAATATAGATTTTCTTTTTCATAACTGTGTGGTTTTGTGTTTCAATGTCACGAGTAATTTATCTCATTGGGAGGATGAATGTCCACCAAATTTCATTAATAAAACTCATTAACCTCTAATCAGTTCATCCCATGTTTCAGTCCAGCCTCAGTGCAGCAGACTCATTGAATGAATGATTGATATGTTGCTTCATACTCAATATTTTCTCCGTGCTCCACCAAGTCAGAGTGGGGTCCTTCCTGCCCACTGCTGTTTGTCGGGGGTGTGAAAGGGAACTGAAACGCAGGACTCACAGGCACAAAATAATAAAGTGAAAACAAATTTTTTTATTAGGAGGAATGTCATAGTTCATTAATGAGGCTCAAAATGCAAAACAGATGTTCAACACACTCAATTGCAGGAACCTAAGAGGGAAAATTAACAGTTGCTGATACAAAGGACGAAGGGAAACTGGGGCTATATAAACACAGACACCGAGGGTTAATCAGGGAGTTAGACACAGCTGAGCCTCAAAGCACAGGTGAAAGTAATCAGGAGGTCGACACAAGGGAAGTAAAACTAAATTTAAAACACAACTAACTAACAAACTAAAACAGAAAGGAACTAAACAGGGAAACTGAAGACACAACAGTAAACTCAAAATGAGAAGTTAACAAAAGAAGAACCCGAGGAAACTAATACTTTTGTACGAGCAGTAACTGTAACTAAACGTAAGAAACAAAAAGATAATGTAAGATATGAAGACTCAAACAGAAAACCAAACAGGTATTAATCTCTGGCTCTCTGCCACTGCATGTCTTTTATCCTGTCTTCCTTCTCTCATCCCATGCAGCAGATGGCCACGCCCCTCCCTGAGCCTGGTTCTGCCGGAGGTTTCTTCCTGTTAAAAGGGAGTTTTTCCTTCCCACTGTCGCCAAAGTGCTTGCTTGTAGGGGGTCATCGTTGGTTTTTTCTCTGTACGTATTACTGTAAGGTCTGCCTTACTGTAATAGGTACAGCGCCTTGAGGCGACTGTTGTTGTGATTTGGTGCTGTATAAATAAAATTGAATTTAATTGAACTGAATATTGTTTAATAAGATTTTAAAAAGTCCAAAAGACATACAACCCTGGGTCTCACTGGCCTAAAGATAATCTGGGAAAACATCCCTGTTTTATTATTATTAAACATTTCCACATGTAATTTTCACCAGTGCAGCACAATGGTCTGTTTTAAAGACAACTATTTTGCTGACCCCTTGTCTTGGGTTAGGACAGCAGGGCATCCACAGACCCCCACTAATGCAGGCTGGCTTAGAATCATATGATTACGTTTGTGGTGACACATTTATATCCTGTGTTTATGCTATTGTGGTGAGCAGCATCAGATTTAAGTTTTATATTTGCTGCATTTAGAAAAATTAGTCTTCCAACAGGTTAAATCAAGTTTAAATTTCTCTGAACACACACACAGAACTATGTGTGTTTTTTGGTCTGCCACAGATCACCTGTATTTCAAGCACCTCGCTTATGGAGACAACTTCAACATGCAGCTCCACCTGCCCTACTCCAGCGTCAACGTCGTCTTCAAGCCCAAATCAGACAGTCGGGGCCGAGCCATCGTGGACGAGGGGGTTGTGGTGACGCCGATGGACCCGCTGCTGGAGGGCAGGGTGAACGTGGAGGGTTCACATCTCACCTTGAAGAAGGTCCAAGTGTCTGACTCGGGCGTCTTCAATGTGACAGACCTGGCTGGGCATCTTGTAGCTGCTGTCTACATAGATGTAGCCCGTAAGTGAAAAAACACATTTAAATGAACAACATGCTCTGTATTGCTGTTGGCTAACAAGCATAATAAACTAATTAGCATAATTTTTGTATTGTAAAAATGCAAATAAAGACGCAGAGAGGGCTGCTAGCATGTTTGCAAGTCAGTGTAATACAACATGAACTACATGAACAAAGGCTGGAAGCAAAGAGAGACAGAGCACCGGGCTTAACATCAAACTTTTATCGTATTCAAACTCACGCTGAGAAGTTGGAGCATCAGAATCAATACAGAGAGAGGAAAGTGCCTCTGACTGATAAATGAAGGACAAATGATGCCTGAAATCATTTCCAGCTTTTTTGCAGCTAATGGGACCGTAGATTACAAAAGAACCTTGTGTTGTATTAAATAAGACTTGAAGCTAGCATTTCAAATCAAAAACTCATTAGGAAAGTGTTTGCTGAGTCATAGATGAACTGAGCTGTGAGATGATTTCCTCAGCCAGAGGAGTCGCCCCCTGCTGGAAATGAAAAAATCATTTTTTTCTGCATTTTTTGCAGCTTAGCATTTCAGGTCCAGAGGCTACATACAGCTGTTATACATTCATTTCTGATTTTCCCTTTTTTAAAGAGCAGACACTGAAGCTGGTCTTTCTGTGTCACAGTGTAGTCATAAATATTAATAATTTAAGCAATAACATGCTGAAGGATGTACAACACTGCAGGCTGCTGACATTTATGTGCCTGCGTGCCCTGGATGTATTTCTATTTTTATATAAAGTGTAATACAAAGGGAGTCAGAAGAGCAGAAACCAATGAATAATAAATAAATTAGTGACATTTTACTTTAATACTTCCAGTTTAACATTTGTGAGTAATATTTATAAATATAATAAATGCAAGTGGATAAGAGCACCTTAAATCCCCACATCTGATCGTTTACTTCCTCCTGAGGAGAAAACGCATGATATTTATCATGGCTCTGCAATTGTGTTTTTCTGTATTATAGTTCACGATGTTAAATGCTTATTTATTTCTTATCAGTTTTATGCGGGGGATGTTGCCGGCACATGTGCACGGATGACTGACGTGTTAACAGCAGAAAATGATGAGATTTAAAGGAGGCAGAGATGAAAGCTGATATCTGTTCTTTCAGGGTTTTGAAGCATCATTCCTGTTGTCACAGAAGACTCATTATTTCTCGCCATGGTTGTTTTTTCCTTACCCGTCCTCGTCTGTCTCGCTCAGCTTATAAGCTGCCTCCCCTGACTCTGGCCATCCTCGCGCTGCTGGGCCTGGTTGCCCTCATGCTGCTGGCGTGCCTGCTGTCCTGCATCTATAAAGTACATAAGAGGAACGAGAAGAACAAGAAGTTGACGCTTATTGCTCAGCAGGCTGGCAAGAGTGACGGCGAGGCTTTCAGACAGGTAACCCCCATCTTTAGTTCTTTATTTCTCTTGGTGGTGTAAAAGAAAGTGAGCAGCAGGACAGTGATGTCTGTGATGGGAGGGAGAGGCAGACGGTCCTGCTCCTGCTGTGGGAGTGAAGATGGTCAGCTGGTCAGCTTCCTCCCCTCCAGTGCTGCACCAGGCAAACATGTTCATACCCAAATTAAACAGATCACCGTTGCTGAGGACGACTCAGTGGAATTGAACTACAAAGGAACATTCCCAAAACTGATATCCAGGGATGCTGACACAGACAAAAGGACCCCGAATTTAAATAACATAGAAAAAACATGCACACCTTTTTTATAAACATAAATACACATACACACAAAAACTAGTTTTGATAAATTAAGACATACATAAAGACATCGGACCATGTATACACATGATTTTGGAGCAAGTAGCAAGTCAGGCCTGATACTGCAAAACTGTGATTTTTACTTCCATTTCTTGTTATCATACGATTCTTATTCTTATTCACTGATGAATTCTGGGTACTACACACAGCTGTAGCTTACATACTTACCGACCTCTGCCAGAGTCCTTTGCTCTGAACTGCACAGTTGCAGAAGTGAGACCAGCGAATCCACATCTCCTTTTCTCCACCTCTTCTTCTTCAAATGATTTTTTAATTGCTTCATTAATAGCTCGAGGTGCAAAGAGTGACTTTTATATGTTAATGATGAATTTATTGCTAAAGACCAGAACCAAAATGAGGCTTGTGCATGTGCATAACATTTCATGAGGACTAAGAATGTAAAAGAGCACAGATGCCTTTATAAATATGCTTTTCTGCTGTGGGCATTCACACAGTTTTATTTGTGAGTCTGCACAGAGTTTTATGCCTCTGGGCTCTGGTATTTCTTTAGAGACTGCACTGTGCAGGATACTCATGATTAGTTTCATTTTAATAATAATTAAAAAAAAGACAAATCCATAATAAATGTCTCTTAAATGGAGCAGAAATTGTTTAGAACCCACCAGGTAAAAAAAACTTGATTTTCAGTTGATTTGTTCATGATTTATAGTAATTTAGTGCCGTTAATCAGCCTTTAGAGAGTCTGTGTTGTTTTTAAAAAGTAGTTATAACACAAAGCCTTTTTGAGCTGTGGTTATTATTTTGTTTCTCATTCTTGAAATGTCAATTTTGAATAAAATATATTTTAATTATGCTGAGCCTGCAGAGACAAAAACAAACAGGTGACTGTTTTCCAATCAGCTCTTTAAAATCCTCGCTTTCTTTGATTCACCTGCTCATTACCGGCTGATCAACTGACGGATTGGATGATTTAGAAGAGCTGACAGTTAACCCCGGCTGCTCACCCGGCGTCCCCAGGAGGCGGTTTGTTAACCAAGTGAATTTATGGATTCCCATTAAAACCCCATTACGCACCAAACAGATGACTCGCCTATAGAAAGCACCTAAACATCACGCTCAGAAATTGATCGCTGTGCCGAGGGGACGCCGGTTCGATATGAGCAACCAAACTGTTTGAGGAAAATGTTCAGATCAGTTTTATGAGCATTTAATAGAAAAGGCAGTGAATGCTTAAATCAGTCTGGCTGATAAATGAAGAAATAAGAATTCAGTCTTTTGATGTAATTAAAAATAGTTGGCAGGGATAATCGTTCAGCTTCAAACTAATTTAGACAGAAAATAACAGTTTTTCACTGTTTTAACTAAAAGCTGACTGTGAGGTCATTAAAACTAGTAGAGCGTTAACACTTTGCTGCCCAGAATCCCCATTAAATGATCCTTTACACCGATTGGACCAATTAAAAACCTGCTGCAGGCAGATGGCTCACTCATTGTAAACAAACCAGCTACAGCCACAGAGACTGATGGCCCTGCAGATCCTATTAGAGGATACCAAATGTTTACAATAACAATATGTCACATTAATTACTTAATGGAAAGGCTAAATTCACAGTTGTGTCACGATGGATGGATAATTAATGTTTCGGATTTTGCATTTTGAGCTGGATTCTCATCAAAAATCTAAATGTTTTATGGCTTAATCTTAGCGCTGCTTCACATTTCAGTTACTTTTTTTATTTGTAGATTAGGTGACATGTCTTTAGCCCATGTAGGCGGGGTTTTTTTGCATTTACTGCACGATCCCCAATCCACAAATACATTTTAGCTTTACTAACCAAAGACAATGTGACAAAAATAAAAATATGAGGTATCTTCCAGTCATCACAGAATCATAAATGCACGCACTGATTTTTATGCTCTCTGTGTTTTTTAAAATATTTAAGATGTTAGATTGAAAACTGTTATGGTGCGTTAATGTTGTTTATCTTGCTTCAGCTTCATGAGCGTTTAGTGAATTGAAAGTATGAGCGTGAATAGAGGCCTTCATGCTCTCAGCTGGATGTCTCTGATTTCTTGGCCCGGCTAACGCTGATGCATGTGCGTTGCGTTTTCTCCCTCTTACTTTAAGGAGCCTCACACGGAGCCTCTTCTTGGTGAGAGAATTGCGTTCTGGCCTCTTTTACTGCTGCTCTCCCTTCTTCGTTTTGGTGTCTGAACAGATGTGTTGCTTTTGTGGCAAATAAGTTCCTTGATCAACTGGCTTTTGTGTGACCCGACCATTGGTGACAGTTTCAAAAACGACGTGTTCAGTGTGTTTGAGATTGTATGAAGCCATTAAAGATATTGAGCACCGGCACACTCGATAAATCCTGGACACGAGAGAAACTGCTATCAATCCTAATGAACAAGCAGAGGTTGATCGAAGACCTAATTTGACAAAAAGTCGATAAATTATCGTAAGTGGATCTGGCTCTACGACTTGGAACAAACTGTTTCTGTGATCCTTGCAGACTTTCAGTAGTCATGTGACTGAGCTGCATCCTTTTTAATTCACTTTATAAGGTTATTATGTGGATGGAGTTTGATTGCTCTACATTAATGGGGTAAAGAATGCAATATTCCACAGTGGTCCTACAAAATTAGGCAGTTCCTCTGTTTTTACTTTCAAAAATTGAGATTTGAATTAAGAAAATCAGTTTAGATGTTATATCATATTCAGGTTTCACAGCTCAGTCAACTTTAGGAATTGTCTTGCAGGATTTCAGTCACAGTTTTGAGCCAGGTCGGGGTGCAAACACCAGAAATGCCCATTTTAACAAGTCATTTAATCCATTATTAAGTCTCAAGTTTTTTAAAACAAGTAATAATCTCAGTTGATGAAGAGGAGGGCTGTTTCTGCTTGGCTCCATCTGAGTTTGGGAACAACAGAAACAGCTTTACTTGCTTTAACCAAAAAAACTTTGATTTTTTTTAAAAGTTTCCCTCCACTCAGAAATTGTATTTTCACTAGTGGTTCTGCCTCCAGTGTTCAAAGTTTGTCTGGAAATATAACTTTAAGGTGTTCAAGCAGGAATGATGATGCTACACTAGAAGTTAGCTGTGGTTCAATAGATGACTTTCACTAGCATGATGTGGAAACTTGAGGTTTGATTTGCACATATATTGAAAATAACCCTTCAGTGGTGTATAGGAGACACCTTATAGGCCAAAAGTATTACAATTTTGAAGCGGAAGACATTTGCGTATTCATAAATTCAGGATTTCCCATTAAGACGGAGGGCGACTATGTCATTTTAGGCATTTCCAGGAGGCTAATTAACCTTTTTTTAAGGGAAAAACTCGGACTCGAATCATTCTTTTAAACAGAGTCTGCACACATGTCTGGAGGGGATCTTTAAACTTCAGTATAGTGATTGAATGACCTGTTGAGATGGCTTTAACCTCCTCAATATTGGCGTAACTTCAGCTGGGAATTTCTAACTTTGAGAAAGTCACGCTGATATCACGTGTGGCGCTTTGGTTCCAGCATCAGTGAAATATTCCCGCTCCTTCCCTCCGCTTCTTCTCTCCCCCACTGCTGGTAAAACCTCAGAGCACTGCAGTTACTCATAAACAGTGTGGTTATGATAACTGCTCATACTGAAGCTTCACTGCTAGTGTAAAACCCAGCCAGCTAAGCGTGCACACGTTTCTTCTTCTTCGGTGGTGTTTTATAGTGTGGCGTGAATCACAAGGTAAATATGCAGTGTAATATTTGTGGGTGTACGTGCTGTTTGTGTGTTTTAGTCGCTAACAGAAAGGCAGTGTTGAAGAGTTGTGTGCATTGTACTGTATGTGTATTTTGTTTGCTTGTTGTTGCGTAGAGAATTTTACCTGTGCAGCCAAACAGCCCAGAAAGTGTGTGTGTGTGTGTGTCAGTTGTTTCCTTTTAATGTGTGCGTGTTTATCTGCATTCAGTGTTATGTGTTCATTTTTCTCGAGTGATGCAAAGTAATAAATTAAAATGTGACATGATGTGAGACACCCCCCATTTATTTGCTGCTTTTACATTTACTCCTTAATGACACCAGTCATGAAAAATTAGTCTATCACTTGATGCCCGGTCGTTATTCTTCCAGTTGCTTACCGTACATTATTCACAAGTAAGTTTTTTATTTTCACATTAAACTGTTGTTATAATTTGGCTTTGACTTTTGTTTTTCATTATAAAATATTAAATAATCCATAACACTTCTTACTAATAGAGCTCGGTCTTATACATACATTTTCTTAACTGCTCTGGTCTGTGTGCGGCTGGAGCTGATCCCAGCTGTCACAGAAGATTTTTTTTTGAACTTTATGGTAAATGGCCTGTATTTGTATAGCGCCTTACTAGTCCCTAAGGACCCCAAAGCGCTTTACACATCCACCCACCCATTCACACACTGATGATGGCAAGCTACATTGTAGCCACAGCTGCCCTGAGGCGCACTGACAGAGGCGAGGCTGCCGGACACTGGCGCCACCGGGCCCTCTGACCACCACTAGTAGGCAACGGGTGAAGCGTCTTGCCCAAGGACACAATGTCCAAGCCGGGGCTCGAACCGGCAACCTTCCGATTACAAGGCGAACTCCCAACTCTTGAACCACGATCGCCCGATATTTATTTTTACGTAGTGAAAATGGACCCAGTAGCTCTAACACATAAATCAAACCAAAAAGTGACAGAAAAGGTTAAATGAAAGAGTTCTTTCTATCCCCTCAACTCCTTCTGGAGACCCTGCCTTGGTGCTGTCTCCCGCCTCTCTCCTGATGCAGTTTTTTCTTATAATTCCCTGTGCATCGGAAAAATCTCAACAATCATATTTGCCCTGGTTAAAAGTTCAATAAAAATGGATTCCTGTATCAGGATGTGACAAGCTGTAAATTAGAAAGTGTTTTCAAAGAGACACAAAACTGCAATACAGTGAAAAAGTCTGTAATTTTCCAGGTCACAGGTAAATTAAGTTAAGCATGTGTTTGTGTGCTTATTGGGTAATCTATCAGGTTTGTAAAGTGATCTGATTTAAAGTCTTATTAAAAAACATTGTTTTATTGTGTAACATTCTGCTCATTTATTTATGTATAACAAGTTTAAAAATGGTTAAATGCTGTGTTCTGGATCCTGTCGGGGGAATTCCTCCTTAGAAAGAAAGAAAGAAATCTTACAAGCGTGAATCAGGTCAAGACTTTTCCTTTATCACATATTTTACATGCACAGGAAACGTGATTGTAACAGGATTTCACACAAAAAAACCACAGCTGTGATTCTCGGTCTTTTTACAGTCTTACTCCTCTTTATAAGTTCAGGCTATGCCTCGAAGCCAAGCTCCTAAAGGGATTAACTCTCCCCTGGTTTTAACAGATAAATAGCAGGCTGCTGGCCTGAACCCTCCATTTTCCAAGAAACAAATTATGTGGAACATTCAATTATGATTTATTATCTAACAATCCTTTCCAAGAAATTTTCTCATGTAAAACTGTTTCAAGTCTCAATTTAGGCTTAAAAAAGTAAAGTTATGCATTACAAGAACATAGGTTTTCTAAAAATATGCTACATATTACAAAAACTCACTCTCTTTATGAAGCAATATGTAATTTCACCTAGAATATGTTGGACACTTTTTTCATCCAAATTTGGGAAACTCGTTTCCCTCCAATTCAAAAAACAAGAAATAGTTTCGACGCTGTTCACAGTTACAACTTAAAGCGCCAAAAAGTCATTTCAGACTTTACAGATTTAAGGCGCTATTCAGCAATATCACTTCTTAAAGTGTTAATTAAAAAAATCTGTCAGCTGCTTGGACAAAACACTTTGTGAGCCAGCCAGTAAAGCTCTGAAGTCGCTCACCAAAGACGGCTAAAAATACCGCGTCATGGATGCTTTTCAAAATAAAAAAACATCCTTAATTTAGCCTTAATTAAGTTTCCATCAAAGGGTGATTCTTCTCACTCTGTTTATTTTAACTACATTTACACTACAGTCACTGTTACTGCTCACTACTGTTATATAAATATCAGCTGCTGTTGCTTCAGTCAAATCTAGTTTCAATCAGGACGTTAAAAATTTGAGTTGCTTTTGAGTTTGGATTTCTTTGCTTTCCTTGTGTTTGACGTTTTTGATTTTTGTGATTGTGTTGTTGTGTTTGTGGTTTATGACTTCATGATGTTATCAGTATTTCCCTCAGTTTTGTCTGTGTCTTCAAGCCTTGTGGGTTTCCCTCTGCCTCGTTCATTCAAGTTTAGAATATTATTTCAAAGTTTCAGCGTATTTATCTTCACCTGTATCTTATCTCTGTACTTATATAGTCGTGCCCTCCCTTTAGTCTTTATCTCAGCCCCTCCCCTGATGTGCTCTCCTGGCCGTCCTGCATTTATTTCCCTGCACCTTTTTTTAACAAATATTTACCCAATAAAACACATTCTGACCTGTGATTATTTACATTTTTCATGATTACTGATGATTGTGGGAGAAATGTTAAAGCAGCAGAGCTTTCCAGCCCTCACTGTATTTGTCTCTGTGCGGTTACTTTTTCTGAGTGTATGTTTGTGAGTCCTAACGTTTTGTTTGTGATCACCAGTGATGTACTGTACATTTGTGTTAATCTCTAATGTGTGTTAAAGCTGTGGTGTTGTGTGCGAGCTTGATGTGTGTTTGTGTGTTGACAGCCGAGGTTGAGATGACAGCAGGCGGCCTCGCTGTTATGGATTTTCTTGTAGCTGTTAGATCTCAGACGTGCGTGAGAGGATGTCAGCAACCTTTCGAGACTTAACCCAAGAGACCGACACGAAGCTCAGATCAATCACGCCTGACTCATCACCTCACCTGACCGCTTGTCTCATCCTTTGCATTTTATTACATCCATCTCACCGTCCTGCTCTCTTCTGTACATCTTCACTATCTGCTGATTATTTCTTCCACTTTAAGTCTCTTCTGTCACATTTACTGACGTTTATCTTACTCCTGCTTGCTGTCTGTCAAATACCATGTTTATCTTTCCAGCCCCCTCCTCCCCCTCTGTTTGTACTACTTCTTTGCTTCCCTCGCTGGTAAAAAGACATCAGACATGGAACTTCTTGCTAACATATCAGCTGCATTTATTCAAAAAAAGTTTAAAAAAAATTCTGCATCCTTTTTATGTTTAGCAGATATTATAAAGGAATTTTTAAAAATTTTGTAAACTGGAGACAAGCAGTGTGCTCCTTCAATCATTTACCCTTCAAACACCACAGAACAAACAACAGTAAATTTCCGTGCATGATAAAAAAGTTCTGCGAGTCCACCCATAACAGTAACTTTTAAAGCAATAAAATTTCTTTATACTCTTGAAGGTCATGTTCTCATGCATTTCTAAACTGTTTCGATGAACCATGAATTCCTTGTGCCACGTCACGTCATTGCTGGCACACAGCGCAATAAAAAGGTGGAAATGTTTAGTCCTCCATGTTTAGCCCGCCCATTGCTCTTGGCAGATTTGGCTTTTTGCAGCTTTGCATCCGTCTCCCAGATTTTATTAGAAGAGATACGGTGCACACTATAAAACCACACGTTGAAGTGATCAGAACAGGTGTTCCTGTGGGAGCTGAAAAAATAAGCAAAAGAGTACCAGCTTTACCAGAAAGACTACCTTGAAGTGGATGCCAACCAAGTTTTAATCAAGTATGATTTTATTTAATTAATAAAGGATCTTGAAGTTAATCTTTTTTATCTGCACAGCCTCCTCAGCAGGATTCTCTCTCTAAGCACAAAGTCAGTCGTTTGCTTAATGCCGACTGTAATCCACACCGTTCCCTGTCTGTGTCCTTATCCCTCCACTGTGCTGACTAATGGACAGTTTATTTAAAATGCACAGACCTCTCCTGTTTACGCCTTCACACTTTTCTTGTACACATCTCCACTCATCCCGATTTTTCTTGCTTTACCTTCTCTTTTAGCACATCCATCTGGCTCTTTCTTGTCCTTTTTAAAACTTTCAGAGTGCACCTTGAGTCCATCTATCTTCAATCTGCCCCCATGCTGTCTTCCCTGCAGTTGAAGGGAATAGGCACTTGTGAAATATTGTAACTCCCCCCCTGGGCTCTGTTTCCTCTCAACCTCCATCCCTGACATGAAGACAAAGAAGTGCTCTCTGTCATGTCACACAAGGATCCTTTTTAATATCTCTGTTTAGGAGCTTTCTGTGCAGTTAAATGTAGCCTGTGTATGTGTGTCATTGTCCTGTAGTAACGTAAAACATGTATGATGACAAGCGATGTGTAAACAGCTGCTGTTGACGGTCGATCTTTACATGCATCCTGCATGTTTGTATGTGTCTTTCTGTGTGTGTGTCTGCAGGTGGTTCGTGAGGCTTACAGCAGGTTCACCGAGGAATCGCTGACACAGTCGATGTGTGATAAACCCATGGAGAGCACAGAGGTCACCATCAAGGTCAGTGGTGGAAACAAAAAGCCATTAAAATGCAAAAACATGTTAAAATGATAAATAAAACATAGCAGAAATTAAAAGATCACAGCTTCAAACTTGGTCTTTTAGCTGCAAATTCATAGATATTTTAATAACCATGCTTCAACATAGTAACACATAATCTGAAAGACAGATGAGCCTAGAAAGATGATTCACATCTTGGCTTTCAATGGGCAAGTTTGTTGCAGAGCTGGGCTTTATTCACTCTCATGGTTCTTACGTGCTCATAAAACTGTACAATTCCCACGACCAGCTGGAGAACTTTGTGGCGTGCTACCTTTTTAACTTTCGTATTCAAAATTTGAGCTATATTAGATTTTATAGACCAACGCTATAAAATATGTATATATGAGACATTTAACATGATGGCCTGTGGATGTGAAGCAAGCAGTCAGCCATCTGTGCAGTGCACAAGTGTAAGGATTAGCTGCTAAGGAATTGCTCTGCATTCCTGGGTATAGCCTGCAGCTGTGCAGTGGTCATTGGTTGTGGCTGCCAGTGATGATTACATCGACCCTGAGTATCTCGGGCCTTTTCTGCTCTGACAGTGTTTCCAGATTTTCCTGGGATGCAGCTGTATGGCTGGCAGAGAGGTACAGGTTGGAGCAGCTGATCTTTGTCTCGTCACATTTTCACCAAGTTCAGACGTGGTGCTCTCAGGGTCATGTAAGGCTGCAGCAACAGTTCAGACCTGCACGCCGGCATCTGGCATGCAAATAAACTGGCCTGGAGCAGCTTTGTCATTTGCAGCATGATGACACTGATCACAGTGTTGTGCACACACTGATTATTTGTATTTTTGAGACCACTGGCATAATAATGTAGTAAACTGAACCTTTTCTAAGGAGTTGAAGTGAGCGTTTTTGTACTCGGTAAACAAATTACGGCCCTGCCATTGACTAAAATCAACAGGAACCAACAACTACTCAAGTTTGTGTTATGTAAGGGATTAAAATTATATGCTGAGAAATGGATTAAAACAAAGACGGAGAACATATTCAAATATTCATGATATAAAACTCATGTTGCTTTTTTGACTAGTGTAAACCTAAAACTAGATGCATTTTTGTTCAGCTAATAAAGGATAATAAGAATACTGGTGTGTAGCCAGATGAATAAGCATTTTTGTGCCATCAGTGGATGTCTAAACAATTCAGCTTTGGCTCCAGCTTCTTATCTTTGTGCGATGTTGTTTGGTCCTGGCGTGAAAATCAGGCTAATAGGTCAACAGAAGAAGAGTTTCACCATCAGCTTGTATAGGTTACATAATTGTTAGTGATAAGAGCTGTAGATACAAGAACGATTAGAGCAATATCGTCTGAGACTGAAGTCTTGATCTTGATTATGAGAACAATCTGAAGCTTAATAATGTCCAACACCTGGTGTACTTTTGGAAAAGTTTGCGCTCAAAGTAATATATTAATTAAAAAAAGATTTAAAAAGATTTAAAGGCAGAAACATCATTGCCCATCTTTGTGTTTGAGATTGCTCAGAAACTACCTGCTATAAAATGTCACCTCAGTGCCAAGAGTAATTAAAATGCAATCGACCTTACATGCTGCACTCGGCAGTGGAACAAATTAGACTCAAGTTTATAACTGCAATAAAGGAGTAAAGAAAGTGAAGTGGTCAAGGTTCAGGGAGTCCTTTAAAACGGTTGATTCAAGCTCCCGCAGGAATTCTTGCTCTCCAACGTGGAATATCACAATAAAACTACAGTTCTTTTCTAAATTTGTTGTTTCAAAAATCAACGCATAAAATTTAAATTAAATTTAGTCTATTGTTACAAACATGTCTTACAGTTAATGTTAAATTGAGTTTTGTTGTCTTACATCAACATGCATGCGACAACAGAGAGCTTTGAATCTCAGGAACAACAACAATGAAAATGTGATTTCTAGCCCACATCTTACAGGCCAAACATTTAGTATAACTGTGGTTTGATCTATTCGGGTGTTTTCTTTATCATTTTGCTGCATCTCTTTGTTTGTGTCCATGTAACATAAGAGTAGGGATGGCTGCAGGAGATGGTGAGGTAAGTCTATAAACACGGTTGGAGAAATGTACATAAATTATTCACTTTTTTTCTCTGACCTAAATTTTAACCACTTGTTTTTCTTCCGTTCTTCGATCCTATATCACCTCCTTCCTTCGTCTCCTACGCCCTGTTTGGGGTATCTGTTTTGTATTCGCTTCGACTCCTGCTTCTTTTGTCTTTTCATCTCAGCCCTCTGTCCCTGTATAATATTTTCCTCTTTACCCTTCTACCTGGCTTTCTTTTGCTTTATCGCCTCTCTACTTTCTAGTTGTTGTTTTTTTCAACTTTTCTTTGTCTTACTTTCATCTTTTGTTGGGTCCTACTTTCTCCTCTTTTACTCTTCTTCGCCTCCTTTATCTTTCCTTTCATCTTACTTTGCATCCTAACTTTTCTGAATTGTATATTTAGCTTGCCTTTCATCTCCTTCTGCCTCTTTTTATGCAGGGCCTCGAGGTGTCCAAACCAGGCCGCTACCACACTCTCAACTCAGATAACTTTTTGGAGATGAGCGACTCCGGAGTCGAGTTCACCAGCTCTGGCCTCCCACTGGACAGCGACACAGATGCTGCGATGACCTACGCTTCCCACAAGCCCCTGCTGAATGCCGCTTCCCCTCCAGCCATCTCTGAAGGATCGCACTCCGAGGGCTTGGAGGCCACTGTGGTCCCTGATGGCGACCTTAGCGCTAGCCAAACCCCTGACTCTGCCTTGAGCCCCATCTCTAATCCTCACTCGCTCGCAGCTGCGACCCCTGATGGAAGCCTCCGTGGTGCTGCATCGCCGGGAACCGCCTCCAGAGGCACTGCTGAGTCAGATACGGCCAAGTCAGAGGGAGGGGCTGAGAGTGGAGAAGGTGAGCAGAAGGAGGAAACGGCCCAGAGCACCTGAGAGGGAGTACCAGGGTGTATTTTTTTTAAGCTCACCTGTCCCAACATATCCACAGTCGTCTGGCAGGAACTTATCATATCTCACACCATCAAGTCCTTCGTCACTGCATTTGAAGCAACATCACAGACAAACGTTAAAGCTTGGATCCGGATGTTTAGCCTAGCCTAGAAGAAAATAACTAAAGCAGCAGATGCTCAAAACGCACAATGCAAAATTTAAAGCTCTGAAAAATGAAAGGTAAAAATAGAAACCCCCGAGCTGTATCAAAAGCAGCTCCGTGCATCTGGAAAATGCATGCATTTAAATTAAACATTAGAGTAGCTATCATAGTTCAGATCTACAGGACATTGCTGACATTAGAGTAGACTGCATGCCTGCTAAAGAAGCATAGGCTCACAAAAGAAGCTGTGATGACACGAAAAGGGTAAAAAACATTCATCACTTTTAGGGAAACGGCTGAAGGGGATCAAATGATTTTGATTCCTGTGAAAACTGGTCAAAAAA